TTTTTTTCTTCTTCACGGGATTCAGGGAAAGTTTTACGATAGCGAGGAAAAAATACGCGATACGCGACAAAGAGTGAAAATTTCAACGGTATACAAGAGTCCATTTTTGGAAGAGTTAAAAATTCGAAAAAGGATTTTATTATACAACTGTGTCTCATGGAATCTTTTTAAAAAAGCAAGGGAAAACATTTATGATGAATCATAAAATAGATATTTACAATGGATATTTACAATGAATATATTCAAAGCAAATATATTTAAAATCTAAATTCTTTTTAAATTGTTAAACGCCAGTTTTTTTTTTTCTTCTTCACGGGATTCAGGTAAAGTTTTACGATAGCGAGGAAAAAATACGCGATACGCGACAAAGAGTGAAAATTTCAACGGTATACAAGAGTCCATTTTTGGAAGAGTTAAAAATTCGAAAAAGGATTTTATTATACAACTGTGTCTCATGGAATCTTTTTAAAAAAGCAAGGGAAAACATTTATGATGAATCATAAAATAGATATTTACAATGGATATTTACAATGAATATATTCAAAGCAAATATATTTAAAATCTAAATTCTTTTTTAGAATTTAATAGTAAATAATGCTCGAAGAAAAGTGGCATTAAAATATATTAAAAATTTAAAAGATTGGAGAGAATATTAAATGTACAAAATTGCACTACAGACTACATACTTTTATCCTCCAGAATATCCGTTTCTGAAAGAAACTTACAAATATATATTATTTCTCTTTCTTACAAATATCTTATTGCATAATAATTCTCTTCTTATTCCATATCTAATAATTCTCTGATTAACGTTATATTCGTAAATTATTGGGTTACAATTTTCTTTCGATAAAACGCGGCAAGCTAAACACAAGGTGTAAGCCTTACTCGTTCCTCAGGTTGAGCATTGTATCAGTCAAATCCTCGGGAGTCGTTCTGATTTCGAATACCTTACGCGGTAAGATATCGTTCCAGGATGGCCGTTGCGTATAAACGTTATACGCGATATTTGGAATCGACCGGTCGGGCCTGAGGATTTGACTGGTGTGATGGCTTCGGCACGCGACATAACGGAATACGCGCCGTCGCCGCCACCGTATGACCATAAAATAAACGTTCGGGGTGGCGCAGGCCAAACCTGTGGCAGCATATAAACACTTATATAACGGCAATTAAACTGCTTTTAAGGCCCATAAAACTGCAGTTTCAATAATCTCTGTGACAACACGATTCTGACCTGTCTACGGAAGCGTGGCTTACCTCGGAAGACGTCACGCTCTCGATACACTGATGAAGAAAATTTTGGATCGCTGTCCTCCCCGCGCCTCCCCTCCCGCCTCGCGAATTTCTTTCCAATTGATTCCACGTACCCCAAAAGTTCCTTTTACGAGCTGCTTCGCGATCAACCCTCCGATTTCTCGCGTGTCTCGAAGTTCGGGTACAGTTTGTTACACGCGTCGATGTTTTGCGTCGACAGGGAGCGTATATTAATGGCGATGGGAAAACAAAAAGAATGGGAAGAGATGCCGCGAGTCGATGGCATAAAACAGAATTCCGAATGAAATTTTCAGGATAAAATTTCGATGGGACCTATTCTTTTTCTAGCCAATGTCGGATATACCTGCTGGATGTTGATGCGATCCAGGCGAGGGAGGTAGCGTTCACGTGTGAGAGACGAGGAGAGCCGACGAGAGAGATCGGAGGCGGGAGAATACGAAGATAGGTCCAGGTAGGGGAGGCAGGGACGATGAAATGGGATAATACCGACGCTGCAGGACGCGGCAGCCATCATCGAATGCTAATGAGGGGTTGGCGGCTTTTGGGGCAGTGGACTCTACCCACCGTTGTCGGCGCGCGGGATCGGTCTGATTATAAATTATACATTATCTCCTGCTAGTCCCCGTGTACACACCGTAATCCAGCTAGACATTCACGTGCCTGTGAACCTCAATGTCAGAATATGTTCCCGTGCTCGTGAGACAGATTAGAAATTTGTCCTCGCCAGCAATTTCTCGCTTGGTTAGCGTGGAGTTGGAAATTCCGTTAATCGACAAAATGATCGTTTCAGTCGAATATGCACAAAAATCAGAAAAAATATCTTTGTTGTTGAACTGAAAGAATACGAAAAAGTCTGAAAGAATCTGTCGAGTTTTGTATCAGTTACACACAGGACAAATGTAAAGCCGTTTTATCTTTCGTCTGTTATCGGTATGAATAGAGATAAGATCGTCTTGATCGCATCTAGCACGCCTTAATAATACTCGCTAAAATATACATTGTTATACTGCATTCGCAATCTGTTTACACATCGTTAGAAAAAAATCGCAATCTATAATCGAATCTGCATATATAATATTCAATAAAATATAGAGCAAAACCAACGAGGATCTGATTTTTCCTTTGAAAATACAAGTAAAAAAATAGAATTAATATTTTATTGATTTTTAATTAGTGGAAAAATAATTTTGAATATAAAAGTTATATGCATCTCTATTGTGACATATTATATTTATACGCCTATTAAGATAGAATTTACTGTAATAATTAAATGCAATTAACCCATTATTGCTACAGATTCTTAATGCCAAAAATATGCTAATATCACGGTTAACGATGGATACAAATACCTAAAATAAGTATGTATCATGAAAATAAATTGTAAAATCACGTGAGTAACTTTAATATTTCAGTAATCAATAAGCGTTACAATACAATCAAATAAATTCATACCATTCTTATATTCAAAATTATACTTCTCGAAAACTAGACAATCGGTAAAAAATGTATTCTGTTTTTTATTTGTTTCTCCTTTTTCAGAGAAATATCAGTTTCTCATTTCTCGATTGTACCATAAATAACTGGATCCTTGTATTTCTAGATGCAACCAATTTTAATGAGATGCGACCTTGAAAGACAAGTTTGAGCCATTTACCGATTCGAGAAATCTCGGAGTATAGCATTCACATATTAATCACATGAATCACAGCGAAGAGTATAGTCATGAGTAAAGAAAAGAATTTAAGAGCACTTCAACTGAATTCATACATGCGATAAATGCAGTAGTGATACAAAAAACATTCTATTCTATTCTATTCTATCATAATAATAAAATTTTACGATTTTGATTTTAATTATCAGGACTAATTAAAATAATATATTTACTGAGATAGTATAAATCTATAATATTTAACATTTTCCATTTTTATTTTTATTTACTATGCATTATTATTTTATCATTTTTCAATTTATTATTTTATCAAGATTTTTTCTATATTGTTTACTATGTCATTTTATTCATTTATATATTTGCTAATC